GAGATTGCGTTAGCAATCGTAGAGTTATTGGGAGGGGACAAGCTGTCACTCGCTCGATCGCTCGCTCGCTCGCTCGATCACTTTCCTGTTCACTTTCCTGTAAATTTGAGACTGCGATGTTTTTTGTCAGCAGTTATTCATTTAATCATATTAATATATTCTACTTACTTGGTCTAAATGGTCTCCCTGTGCTTTTCGATTAATCATTGTTTATATTAATATATTCATTAATTTGGTTACTATAGTAACTTCTATATTATGAAATTCATTTTAGACGGTCCGCCTGTGTTGTTTCAGCTGCGAAATAAATTTCATGTTCCCACTAGGTTTCGAACCCCGCGACCTCTGGATTGTACGCCAAGCGCCTTAACCGATTGTGCCACGGTGACACTTTGATGAAACATGGCGTGTTTTAGTAGTTTTATAGGGAGCACCGCTGTTCGAGTCCAGCTTGAGACAGGACACTTTTTTCTTTTTTTCTTTTTGATGTTTTGAGATTCTCTTTTCTTTTTCTCCTTTTTCTAATAATAACAAACATTTTTCTGCATAAAGTTTTGTTTTTAAGAAATTCTTTTAATTTTTGCCATCGGTAAAATAAGGTTCACCATGATGGGTTTCCTGTGTTATATACTGTGGATTCAATCGATATTTGCCGAAAACAACTGACCCATCGCACTAACTTAAAAACCTGGATTCAAGAGGAGAAAAAATTGTAAAAATTATATTGTTTGACGTAGAATTGTACCGATTGCAATAAGTTTTGACTGGGTTTTCGCTTCGAGTACGTGTCAACATGGCGTCTCTGCTAAAAGTAGCTTTCACGGCCTTATAAATAAACTTCAAGCAAATGGACGGTTTCTATTCCGCTTTAGACTTCAAGGTAAGATAATAATGTACAAAGCTTAGCAATGACATACTTAAATCTTAAGTTTATCATATGAATTACAAATCAAACTTTTTAGGCTGTGTCAACCTGCCCGTGAGTATTCATTGTTTTCAAATAATTAGCTTACGTACCGAGACTAAATCATTAATTTCATCGCTAAACCCAACCCAAACCTTACCCTAAACCTAAGCTAGAGCTAACCAAGGACTTTTGTTCAGTAATTCTGTATTTTTTTTTCGCAAAC